TTTGCAGCTTCTCTCCTCCTTTTTGTGCCTAAGTGAAGGCTGACATAGGCAGTACACGATGCAGTACAACACTCAGTTTCTAGAGCAAAACATTGGGAATAATATGCTCTGCTTTTGTGGCTGTCAGGTGGCACTGGGGAGAACAGGCTGGGGTGTGAACTCGGCTCCTAGTTTTAGGGAAGGAGCAGCACCCTACACCAAACCACCAGCCGATGCCCTCTACCCTGCCTCCTTCAGTGGTCACCTGTGAACGAGGGGTGGAACAGAAAAAAAGAGCAAACATTGAGCAATACCACCTCAGTGTACACTCCTCTGGTTTCAGGAATCTGTAGTTCAGGGATTTTCTGCAGCTGAACAGGCCATTTTGGACTACTTATATAGGAAATCAGCACATGGTGCAAGGCATCCTGCGTACTTCTTTCCCAACTGTGAGTCCTGGCTGCAACGTAACTCCGAGGCAACCCTGCAGCCATCCCCCTACTCCTCCACCCTGGCTTCTCCAGACAGCCCAGAGGCTTCCCTGGTCTGTGCCGTGCAGCCACTCTCCCCCTCTCCCCATGACCCAGCAAACGTAGCTCTTGGGCTCACATGGCAGCGGGCACACAGCCAGGCAGCGTACGTGTCGGCGCTTGGACACGCTGACTGACTGACAGAACAGATTCCTCCTCTGTTTTTCTTCCATTGCTTAAAGTAAAAAACTGTTCATAAGCTATCTATCTCCTCTGTTCTTCACACTGGTTTTTTTTAAATAAAGCTGCTTTTTCTAAATTTCCCATTGGCCGGTTGGGTTGCAAAAGCCCTCAAAAAAGGAAGCCTCGACTATGGACAAGCTTTTATTATGTGCTGACACAGCAACAACAGGGGACATCAGTGTGCTTCAGCGCCAGGTCTCATGTCAGGTTTGTGCTGCTTGTACAGATCACTTCCCTCCAGTCACATATCATCAGAAAAAGACAATTTTTAAAGTGTTCTTAATATATAAACTACAGTGTGAAACTTCTACCCAACACACATTGTGACAATGTAATAGGTAAGATTAAGGGAACTATTATACAACTGTAAAAAAATAAGAAGTACATGGAGTTACAGCAAACAAAATAAACTGAGACCTGAGACTAAATCAGATGAAATGGTTCACGTAAACTGGCCCTCTTTATTAGGAACTTTTGGGCTATTTAAATTGTTCTTCTGATCACACCAGGAAATAAGAGACGTATGAGCCTTCTTCATATTGTAAGCATTTCAATAATAGACATATAATAGAAAAAAAAAACCTAAAAAACCTTTGGAAACAAGTTCTTTAACACAGAGTCTTTCGCTGCTACCAACTGATAACAAGAGCCTTCCAAACAGCCTAAACATAAATGAGTAGAACTAAGCATGAATTGACCTGGACTTACAAAGTAAATGCTTTATAAAATCAATAAGCATCTGTGATTGAAATTTTTTGCTGCTACTTAAACCGTCATGAGTGCAACAATGCTTTAACCCACACTTCTACAACAAAAACAAAGCAAAATCCCAATACTTTCACCCTTCAGTTCTTCTGTTTTGTCAGATATACATGGAATTGTCACCTCTACTGCATGAAATGTCACACAGAACCTTCCAGTAAGAAAAGTTCCCATTTTTAAATGCGTACCTCTACCAAGTGAAGCAATGAAAAACGATTATTTGAATCTCATGAAGCAGAGCTGCAATAGTGCTGCATAGCTGATGAAGTTAGAAGCACTTGAAAAAAGGTAAACTTATGCGTTGCATCCTCTCTTTTCATCAGAAATTCAACTAACATTTTAACTAAAATTACAGAGCGAAGAAATCAGTCCAAGATGACATATATGAAAAACAAGATTCCCAAAATATCAGGTGCAGAAAATCACCACTTATCAGGTGCAGGAAATTACTGTGTATCAGTCCAATCTGTAAAGTGAAGCTGACTTATAAATAAATTGCTCTAAAATCTTCTGATACACCTTAAAAGCAGTGTTTTTACTGGGGTTTGAGTGAGCTAAATTATGAATAAAGAAATTAAAAAGCAAAAAAAAATCTGCATTGAAATGTTAATAATAAAAAGGCTCAGGACAAGAATGAAAACAAAAAAAATTACAATTTCTTCCTTTCAGATGAAGAAAGTGGAAAGAAAAAGATGAGGCTTTGAAAAATCTCATGAAAATTTTTTTACCTGTAAAGGAAGAAACTTAACTGACATTTGAGAAATTCCTTTCCACTCCTGTTTCATATTAAGTAACCTGAAAAATAACCAACTTCTTAACCTAAATCCCTATTAAAATCCATTTAGAAGCTTAAAGATTTAAAGAAACAAATTTAAAAATATTTTATTGCTTCTGTGTTTCCATATATAGTATATATACATGGGGTGCAACTGGTACCAAGACAAGAACAGAAAAGAAAAGCCCCGTATAGTTCAACTGATTGACATAGTGTCCCCACTCTTCATCTTAAAACATGAGTAAACCCAGTTTTTCCCTTTCTCCTCCCTGTCTATTCCAGGGCCCAAAGAAATGAAATATTGCTCCTCATTCTAAATCAACTGGCAATTTCTCCTCAAGTTCATTACGTAGTAGTTAGTTAATTTGATATTAAAAAATAAATTAAAAATATTTATTTAAAAAGGAGAGTTCCACCAGGAGGCAATTAGACATCTTTGCTAAAAGCAGTGCTGTTCTCTTTCTCTTTGCAGTGTCAAAACACTGAAAAAAAATAATGCTCTTCTCTATGTGTTCTTGGTAGCTCGCAGCGATATAAAGTTGCTCTTGAGGAGCAGTGGTGAGCACTACAACGTTGAGAGAAAAAACATGCCACCACAACACTTTCAGATGTGATATGGCTTTATGAGGAAAACCAAATGGTTAGTCTACAAATTAAGTAGTTTCCTTCAAAGTAAAAGTTTGAAGTCTTATTTTCATTAACATTATTTGGATACATTTGTTATTTAGGATGAAAGTCTTATTCCCTACCTATTTTAAAAAACACACTTGGAAAAGATGAAAAGTCATTTTGCACTGTGGTGGTTTACCTTCCCAGACCTGAATTGGTGTGGTCTCTTTTTAGCAGAGGATAAATTTCTATTAACATATTAAAGGAATAGTTACCTAAAGCTAACATATGGACAGATACTATTTGAGGCAGTTGTCAGTAGGAACTGGCAAACGGGACCCCCTAAGTTCTGATTTGAAAAGCTAAGAATAAATGCTATTTCAGTGTATGTGACTCCTCCAGTCATTTTTATACATTTAAAAATTGCTAAGTTTATAGATGGATGCTACTGACAACTTTTGCATGCTAAAAGCATCTACATTTGTTTTTAAAACCGCTCTCAGTTGTCCTTTTAAACGAACAAACCAAAACTCACTGTTCCTTGTAGCTGGTAGCATTAGCTCTCTTGGAGGTCCAGCAAAACAAGGACACAAATCTTCCCAACGTAACAGCAAACCTGGCAGGGTAAAACTTTTCTAATATGAAGGCGTGTCAATTATTCTGCTCTGTGCAACCTACCAATGTGCCTAACTAACCTTCTCACTTTGCTCACAAAGACTCAATTTTCATCACCTCCTTAAGCATGATGAGCTTCTTCAGAAGCACTCCACTACTGTTTTGACACACTTCTCAGTAAAGTCTTTGCCAAGACTACCTTTGACCCTGAGCAGGACCAGAAATAAGACAACACAGAACACTACCCTGCTGTTTAATTCAAGGGCTGAATTTAACCATAACTTTGCTTTGCAAGCGTTGCTAGTTAAAACTATAGACAGGCTCAGTCAAAATAGCAGGAGGAAACACCACACCAAGAGGCCCGAAAGCCACCGGCTTTCACACCAGCAAAACCTCAAATACTCACCCAGCACCTGTACGAAGGGCAGCCCTGTGTGTGCTTGGTTTTTGGGTGCAACTTTTTCGACCTTTTATATTGGCAGCAGCGAAGCCCACGAAAAAATAAAGCTGCCACACACAGAGGGGACATTGTTGCACGGCCTTGAAGCTGGTGTGTGCCAGTAACTGTCACCCACTGCCAAGCATCGTCAGGTGCATTCCGGTCATGTGGCTTCTCCATACAGACAAAACACACGAATGATGTACAAGAGCAACTATCAGAGGCTCAGCTTTGCAGGAGCATAACGGAATAGCTTTATCTTACAGGGAAGGAAAACACTTTCATGAGTAAACACTTCAAAAGTAGGCAAGCCTCCAACTTGAATTTGCAGAAACTGCCCAAGACAGTGTCTTCACTGAGGTCATAATGTACACGTCTCTCCATTACAGATAAATCAAGAAGCAGGCAGTGTAACAAATCTCAGAAGAGATTCAGTAGTACAGGAAAACCAACTCAAATACTGGCTATTTGCATTATTTAGCAGCCTTTTGTAAACATCAAGGGTGCCTAACTAGTGTGCTCTATTCGATTTCAGCAAATTCTTAATACTTAGATGATGACTTAATACAATAGATATTTTACTTGTGCTTTCTTGATTGATATCAGTGGTTTTGGTACACTCTAATTAGGAGTTTGAAACAAGACAATACTGTGCTTTTCTGATGTACAACTAGAGGGGGTGTCCTTCAAACTCTGGAATGCTGGAAGACCACTCCCAAAACCTTTCCCAGGTGTCGCACACAGTTCTGAGCAGCAAGACCCTGGCAACGCAGTCAGTGCCATAGGGATTAAATTGAGCACACGGTGCAGACAACTAGTAAAGCTAATAACCCATATAATTTCTACTGTAATCCTGGCCATTTAATTTAAGGTGCTTGCTAATAATCTCATATACGACTGACAAGGTTGAAAGGACAATATGGCTGGAACAGTCAACTCCTCTTTACCACCCTTCACATCTACCTAGAGCTAAGGCCACCCTGCTCGTACTGCCTCCAAGTGCCATAACCAGAGCTCTTCCATACCACCCAGCATAATCCGACAGCTCTGACAAAGAGCAACTTTGCTTCGGCTATAGCAAAAGATAATACAGCAATACCCACTGGTGCTAAGTTTGCAGCAGGCACACGTAAGATAAAAATACATCTATCTGATTCTTAACAATGACTTCTTTTGGGTGCAAGTTATGTGGCAAGTAATGAGCCAGAGACATTTCCCAAGCGTCCACAAAGTGCACAGCAATTCCTGAGAACATTTTTCTCATGACAGAATCAAGCTGAAAGGAGTACCAGTCACTGTTAAAGAGGCTCACTTCTGGCCCAAGCTCCTGAACGTTAGCAGTTCTGATGATGATTGAAGTCTTGGGGCTGCGATCCAACAGTTGAATAATCGCTCTCCGAATGTTCCTCAGCCGACGTATATACACTTCCACTGGGAAAGTGCTGAAGTGGGACCATATAGTTATGGCTATCACCGTGTTTCTCCCACCCACTATGCCATTCAGTTCGTTGGCAATGTAGCGCAGTTCGCTGCTAAAGACCGTTGAAAAGCGAATGGGTGGCCCGTGACAGCGGAACTTCAGCTGAATATTGTGCTTCAGGTCCACAGACATGAAAGGTCCCACATTCTTGGGACTCCCCAGGTTAAATTCCACTAGATCTGAAAATCCAAGAGCAAGTGTTAGTGAAAGGCAGCATAATAGATTAAAGCTATCGACAAGATGCTAGAACCGCAAGGCAAAAGTTACAGTAGATAAGAAAATCTGAACATAGTTCTGAAAACTCCAAAATGAAACAGAAGATGAGCGTTGTACACAGCTAGCTGCATGCTTCAGAGTGGAATTTATGGGTGTTTAAATTTGCAAGACAGTACACTTCAACTTCACAAGGCTGTCAATGTCTTTTCTGAGTTTCCCAAAATATTTTCTTCTCTCTCTCATGAAAAAGAATTTTTCCAAATAGATTCCTTCAGTCACTGCTGCCCTATGAATCCAGTGTTCATGGGAACCCTTCTGACAACCTTACGACTCCACGAAATTTAAAGATGACTTCAACTTGCAGGCATTACAGAGTACTGAAGTTTGTGTTCCAACACAATTTAATTGCTTTAGGGGTAAGGGAGGAATATCTAACTGGCTACTGAAATTCTGATATTTAAGTCAAAATAAGGGAAATACAAGAACAAGCCCCAAATCAATCAAAAGTAACAGAATTAATTTGCTGCATCATTCCACAGTCACTTGTGTCACAGAGATGCTGCAAGGCTCTACACAGGCACTCTAAGTGATGGCACCAAGCTGAGCGGTGCAGTCGATGTGCCAGAGGGACGGGATGTCATCCAGAGGAACCTGGTCAAGCTGGAGAAGTGGGTCCACGTAAACCTTATGGGGTTCAACAAGGCCAAGTGCAAGGTCCTGCACCTGGGTAGGGGCAGTGCTTGTTATCAGTACAGGCTGGGGGATGATGTGATAGAGAGCAGCCCTGCAGAAAAGGACTTTGGGGTACTGGTGGATGAAAATCTGGATGTGAGCCACCAATGTGTACTCACAGCCCAGAAGGCCAATCGCATCCTGGGCTGCATCAAGAGAAGCGTGGCCAGCAGGTCGAGGGAGGTGATTCTGCCTCTTATGAGACCTCACCTGGAGTGCTGTGTGCAGCTCTGGGGCCCCCAGTGTCAGAAGGTCAGGGGCCTGCTCAAGCAGGTCCAGAGGAGGGACACAAAGATGATCAGGGGGCTGGAGCACCTCTCCTGTGAGGACAGGCTGAGAGTTGGGGCTGTTCAGCCTGAAGAAGGCTCCGGGGAGACCTTAGAGCCGTCTTCCAGTACCTGAAGGGGCCTAGAGGAAAGCTGGGGAGGGGCTATTTGCAAAGGCGTGTAGCAACAGGATGAGGAGCAATGGGTTTAAACTAGAGCAGGGTAGATTTAGCTTAGATGTTAGGAAAAAGTTCTTTACTATGAGGGTGATGAGACACTGGCACAAGTTGCCCAGAGAGGAGGTGGAGGCTCCGTCCCTGGAGACACTCAAGGTCAGGCTGGATGGGGCTCTGAGCAACCCGATCTAGTTACAGATGTCCCTGCTCACTGCAGGAGGGTTGAACTAGATGACCTCTAAAGTCCCTTCCAACCCAACATATTCTATGATTCTATGACTTTTGCTGTGTCCCTCAGGTGGCCTCCTTAACTCGCTGCCACAGCAGCCATCCCCATTGGTGAGAAGTTTTACAAGGACAACTTTGCAGACACCTTGTGTCCCCATTTTCAAGGCCTACATGTTTCCAGTTTCTGCTCAAATATTTGACTAACTGCCTTTCTGCCAGGACTTCTGATGATGTTCTGTCCTTCCTCTTCCTTTGTTTTGTCATTGTTATTCAGTAAGATCAACTCTGTGTCTGAGAGAAATGACGCTTTGCAAAAGCCTTTGAGAACAAAACCAAATTTTAAAAAAATAATAATAACCTGGAACAAATGCTGTCAGATATTCAAACCACTGCCTTATTGTGGAGTCTCCAAACAAGTGTATTACTTTGCCTTGTAAGCACTTGGTTATATCATCTGACTTGTTAAAATGATGGATCCAGTGTGTTCTTGACCTCCACTCATCTTCATAATAATATCCAGAAGGGGAAACTGTGGAATCTTCAGCTCTGTCTATACTGCTTGAATCTGGAAGAGAAAAATTTCTTGAAATTAACATGCAACAAAACCAGCCTCCACAACCTTCACAGACATACAGTCAGTGACGCATGAACATCTTCCCTAGTTTAAAGTGCAGGAGTGCAATGTACTTCATACATCAAAAACCTCTGTGTATTACACTTCTGTCGCCCAAGTGCTTCATCCCCTACTTCTGCAGCAAAACCTGCAACTACTGACAGAGTTAGTTGAACAATTATAGTTTAAACTTGGTTTAAATTAAACAGCATCTTCAATGATAAAAAAATAGTAAGTATCTGGCATCTTCCACAGATAGAAGTGCTCAGTCGTGGATGTTTGCAACAGGTACAGAGGAGCACAGGCAAAGAGAGGAGCAGAGCACCTTCTTCCAGTCTGTGCTGGACTCCAGAATCCCCAGGTCCCACCACCCCTGGGCTGTGAACGCCGGGAACGTTCGGTGCCAAAGTGTGCTGCTCCCCTCTAGCGGCCAGCCTGCTGCTGCAGCATAGGACACCAACCCCCGGGTGACAACCTGGTACCACTCTATAAAATTAAAAAACAAAAAAAAAATCTGTCTGTGGAGTAACACACACACCCCGACAGTCCTGCTTTGACCACAAATGCTCGAAGAGTCTGAATCATAAGGACTCCAGAATCGGGAAATGCCAGAATTAAAGCTATGATCAAAAGCTTTACACGTGCCCTTCGAATGTGTGAATTATGAGACTCTTATTCCATGGATTTCATACCTTCTCCCTGCTATCCGGCCCCTTCGCCTTTCACTGTCTGGGATAGGCAGCCCCCTGAGGGGTAATCAGACTACACAAGGGGAAGCTCTGCTCTGTAGGACACCTACTTAACTTACAGACGTTGGATGATACATTGGAAGCAAAAGCCAGAGATTACAGAGAGAAGCTGAAATCTCGTGGTTAGGTCAATCGAACATGCCATATTTCTCTTAGTATCCAGTGTGATACTAGTACATCGAATTTCTGCAAGGTCGTAGCTTTGGACTTGGTGACCTTTAAAGGTCTCTTCTAACTAAAACTACCCTGTGATTCCATGACTGCAGGGTCCTCCTCTCCCAAGTGCATGTTCAAATACCTAAACAAGCACGGAGCTATTCTGTGACACAAGGACTAGCTGCGTGGAGTAACCACTCTTTTAAAGACTTTTAAACACTTTTACCCACCTTGGCATAGAGACAACCTGTTAAGAACAGTCCCTGGTCTGTCCTAACTCACAGCTGTTTGGGAAAGCGCACATTGCCATGGCCAAAATCATGCCAGAGGCTGTTCTAACTATGTAAAAACACAGGCAGTGGAATTCCAGGACCCTGAAACATCCTCTGGTAGATACTACACTGTAATACAGGTGTAGACACACTGTAAACACTCAAAAAAAAAAAAAAATCTGACCATAAGTATCTTTAAACATCCATTCCTATCAGGTGTTTTTGGTCTCACTGTTTCTCGCAATGTTCTCTGTGTCTTGCATTAGTAGGTGTTAACCTCCCTAGTCCTCACAGGGACGCTTGCTATTATGTTTGTGTAATGCAAAGACTACAAATACAAATACCAGAGAAACAAACATTAGAAAATTTTATCTTTAGATCATTCTTTAAATCAGGCAACAGTGTCAATGAAGGAAGAAAAAAAGCCCAACTAATAATGTTGGCTCATCCTATATGAACAACACAGGAATGCTACAAAGAAAAGAAAAAAAAACAACCCTTCATATGGTCATATAATTAAAGATTAATTAATAAAGTGAATTCACAACTTCATTTCTTAAGTTTCAATGCAAAAACATTTCTTTTTTTTAACCTTTAAAAATGATGCTTAGACTACATATA